ATAGAATAAAAATATAATACATATGATATATACCATATAATTTATTATATAAATGCAACAATTTTTCAACTCTACTAATGTGTTAAGCACATAAAGTGTGGACAAAGAAGGGATTAGGATAAGGTAAATGAGGCATTGACTTGGAGCCCAAAATTTAAGAGATCACTAAAAACTCAATAATTAAGATGACAATTTAATGTATTTTACAAAGTTAATGCAAAAACACTTGATGAACAAAATATAAAAATGTTAGGTTCACATGTCAAACCTTTGAGCCCTCAGTTTGGTGAAGATGTCACTATGTACAATAAACTAGTTGAATTAACTATGTGATATTAAATATTAGTAAATTTTTAATTTTTAAAAAAATATTAAGTTCTATCATCGAATCAGCCCTATAAACTAAATACTACTCTCACTGTAATTTTATCAGTGAAGAAATTTAATCACCAGATAGATATTAAGGGCCCTGTAAGGGCCCAGCGTTATGGCACATATCTGTAATCTCAGCACCTGGGAAGCTGAGGCAGGAAGATCGCCACAAGTTCAAGGCCAGACTAGTGAGACTCTGTTGCAACAAAGTTAAAATAAAAAGTCTGGAAAAGGAATAAGTCCCCCAGATCCTAGAGAACTTTGCATGCTAGCCTAAAGATAGATATGAGGACTAAGGATATACTAAGAGGAAGTGTACTTGCTAGCTTGAACAAGGCCCTGGATTCCACACCAGCATCACAAGATGGGGAAAAAATAAAATTAAAATTAAAAAAAAAAAAAAAGCAGACGTGGTTGGTGGATAAGGCAGGAGGATCACAAGTTCCAGGACAAACTGGGCAGTTTAAATGAGAGCCTGTCTCAAAAATAACATTGAAAGGGCTGAGGATTTAGCTCAGTGACACCACTTCTGCCTCACAAGCACAAGGTCCTGAGTTCAATCTCCAGTACCAGAAAAAATAAGTAAATAAATAAATAAGTAAATAAAATTTAAATAAGGGCTAGGGATGTACCTTAGTCCTCCCTGGATTCAGTCCTCTGTACCACACCACACAAAAACTACCCCAGCCATCATGCAGAGAAAAGCTTAGGAAAACAAAGCCTGAAAAGAAAAAGACCAGTAGGAGCTGTGACAAAGTCTTGCTGGGAGATAATTGTGAGAAAAAATTTTTTAAAATGTAAAAAGGATAGTGTGATTTAATGACTAACTGGAGTTTGAGAGAGAGAGAATGGAGTTGCAAATGTCTAGATTTCTACCTTGGGTGGCCATAGTGATACTTTTTCTTCACAAGATTGGGCCGACAAGCTCTCAAGGCTGTAATGATTGGAGGAGGTGCTAAAATTGCCCAGCCACTCTTTTACTGTACAGACACTAGCTTCCAAACAGAAAGTCCAGTGAATTACAGGTCCTTTGGGGCACCATGGTATTTATCCAAATTTTAACTGGCATTTTGAAATAAGGTTAAAGTTGTAAAAGGCAGGGGTGGCAAACAATACGGTAAAATCTGGATGAGGCCTAAGAATTACAGGAATTGTTTTCTCTGATAAGGATGTGAATCCTGGAGCTCCCCCTGTGCTCTGCCACCACCCACCTGTACAAACTTGGGCAATGCACTTCCTCTCTCTAACCTTCAACTTCCTTTTTTTTGTAAAGTAGAGATAATAGGACTTTTTTTTTGTTTGTTTGTTTGTTTGTTTTTTTGAGACAGGGTCTCACTATTTAGTTGAGACTGACTTGGAACTCACTGTGTATCCCAGGCTGGAACTCACAACGATCTTCCTGCCTCAGCCTCCCAAATGCTGGGATTACAGGTGTGCGCCACCAGGCCTGGCTAATAATAGGACTTTTAAACTTTTTTTTTTTTTTAAGGTGAGGTTTCACTCTGTTGGCCAGGCTGATCACCAATTCTTGCAAGTGCTGGCATTGCAAGCATGTTCCACAGAGCCCAGCTAATGATAGTACTTTCTACAAGTGAGGCTGAAAAATAAAACGAGAGGGTTATATTGCACTTAGCATATTTTGTAACTGTCATTTTTTTTAAAAAACAAGATCTCACTATGTAGATTAGTTTCGTCTCGAACTATGTGGTCTTGAACTCACAATAATCCTCCTGCCTCAGCCTCCTGAGTGTTGGAATGACAGGTATGAGCCACCATCCCTGGCTTTGTATCTGTCATTTGTGCAAGCACATTTTGCTTTATTGAGTACATTTTGTTCATGTCTCATCTCCCTAAATAGGTTGTAAATATCTTGATAGAAAGACTCAGGTATTTTCATTATTTTTTTAGGTTTTTGTGGTGGTGGGAATCAAACCCAGGACCTCATGTGTGCTGAGCAAATATGCTCTACCATTGAGCTGCACTTCCAGCCACGTGGTTTTTTGTTTGATTTTTGTGGTACTGGGGATTGAACCCAGGCCCTTGAGCATGATAGGCAAACTCTACCACTCAGGTACACTCCACTCCTGGCCCTTGTCATGTTTTATCGTGAGACAAGAGCTCACGAAAATGTCCATGCTGGCATCAATTTGTGATCCTCCATCGGGGTTCTGAGTAGCTGGGATTAATGATAAACTTGCACCACCATGCCCGGTGCTACTAATTATTGAAGAACTGCTGCATACCAAATCCAAGAGAGACATTTGACTGCACTTTGCAGAGCATGGAAAAGAAGTTCAGAAATTAAAATGACTTGTCCAAGGCCAATAGATGTCAGAATTCACATTCAAATTCAGTTATCTGTCACACTAAGCTTATCTCTTTACATCTTTCCTTTTAAACTTGTATGTTCCTTCTTGATGGTACATTTCCCAAATTATTTCAATTAGTGACAGTAAAGAAAGAGTAAAGTTCATACATTTAATGTTTCCCAGCCACTGTTAGACTGGACTCAAGGGAGTAGGTCCAGTACATGGCCAGTCTCCCTTAGCATAGCTGACTATGGACATGGACTGCAATACATACATGCATGCACATGCACACCACACACACACACACACACACACACACACACACACACACACACACATATACACATGCTCTTCCATCATCAGCTTTCTAGACTGGCCTACCTAAGAAGAACTACTGTCTAAGATAGACCCACTCCCCTATTAAACTCAATGTTAGACTTGTAACTTTAGCATTAAAAATCATTTCTCTGGGAGTGAGCTGATATTTATTGTCTACTTCCTGTATGCATAGCCCCATAGAAAAGGTACAACCATTTCTTTTCAATCTGGCCCACCTGTGCCACCCTATCCCATCCGCTCACTACAGCCCTGTCAAGTCTCCTGCAGTTGTACAGTCTGCCTAGAATATCCTTCCCCTCTGGAGGATTTGCTCTCTTACTCCTATCTCTGCTCAGCTCTCCCTTTATTAGAAAGGCCTTTCTTAATCAGATGTTTAAAATTTTAGCCCAATCCAGTTGCAGTGTTGTGCGTCTGTAAACCCAGGTGTTTGGGAGGCTGAGGCAAGAGGATCACTTGAGATGAGGAGTTGGAGACCATCGTGGGCAATATAGCAAGACTCTGTCTCAAAATAAATAAATGAGATTCCAATCTGCTCTTTTCCCCACCCCCCATACCCTGCTGCATTTTTCTTCATAGCATATTTGGCCAGGTGACACACTACCAATTATTTTCCAATTTATTTATCTTTTCATTAAAATTATAAGCTCTCCAAAGGCTGGGGCTTTGTTTTATTCATGGCAGTACCCTCAGCACCTGGAATGATGTCTGGCACAGTGCAAACACTCAATAAATACTGTCTTTGTTGAGAAAATGATCTGTAGGAATAGAGAGTAACAGACAAGTTATTAGGTTATTTTTTTGGTCTCATAACATTTAGCACTAGATATGGTGAAAGTGCAGTCCTTGGTGTCTTTGAATTCCAGGCTGGTGTTACTGAATGATGGTATCTTTTTTATTTATTTATTTTTCTCACTGAGTTTATTGGTACATTTTAGGTATACAGCACAGTGACATTCATCATTGGGATCTTGTACCTTTACATGACAGGTCTTGGTTCTCATTTTTTCCCCTTGTCCCTGCCCTCCCTTCACCCTCTCCTCCCCTCCCCATTTACAAACATTTTATTTCCATTTTTTCATTTTCTCTGTTTTTTGTTTTTTGAGACAGAGTCTCCCTGTGAAATTCAGCCTGGCTTTGAACTCACAGCGATCCTCCTGCCTCAGACTCCTGAGTACTGGGATTACAGGTGAGCATCTCCGTGCTTGGTGATGATG